AGCAGGAGTTCTTTCACAGAACGAAGTTTCATTTACAGTAAACAGTTTCCAAAACTACAGTTCACATACTTGCTTGCATTGCAGCATGTTCAGCATGGATTCACTCCTTAATTAAATCACTTTTTGCAAGTAAGTGTTAGATTATTACGTTGGTTTGAGAGGTAATGTTTAACAGGAAAAAAGGAATGAAAAATAGAGTGTAAAAGGGGGAGAAGGCAGCTAGCAACTGAAAGCAAAAATGAAATTTTGCTTTAGCTTTTTCTAGCTTTTTAGAGGAAAATAGGACTTGCGGCAATACCGGTTTGCAGTTCAGTTTTGCAATGTAAGATGATGTATCCTGCAGCTGTTAAGAAATTAATGCAGGATCAGACTGCTTTATTTCAGAAAATTATGTAAATACAGTGTTAAATTTATCTTTATTTAATAAATAAAGGCATGAAGTTAATAGGAGTTAATCACTTTCTGAATGGATATCCTCTCTTGAACTGGGACATCTGTCCTGAACTGAGCAAATTAATGTTTTCATATAGTACAGATTAGCCGGAAAAAACATATAAAATGAAATCTAATAGTTAAAGTTTTTACACATTTTTTTTTTGTTCCAGAGTCAACAGGATTCCCCCTGGCTATATACTAGAAGCATTTATTTATCAAAAATTACCACCGTAGCATTATTCTCACTCAAGTAATAGCCCTGTTGGGTTTTTTTTTAAAAAAAAAAACTTAAAATTACTTCAAAATCATCTGAATATTTTGAATGGAGTATATATCAAAAGTCAAGGAGATATTTCTTTTCTGAACTGGGAGAACCACCCAAGTCTGGGTATCTTTCCCAGCCGTCTCTTGGTCCATAGAAGACTCTCTTCATACTGTGTGTCCCTATTTTCGTTTCTTCACTGGTTTTGAGTTACTGTAAATGTTTAAATGAGAGGAAATGAGGCTTGCATTGAGTCCTAATTTTCTGAGCACATGAATGTGTCAGCTCACGGACCTGAGGAAATGCAGTGAAGAATAAGTCTGCCCTACCTGAGAGGTCAGGTTCTTGCACCAAAGCAGTGGTGCTGTTTGGAAACATAACCTTCATAATGAGTTTCCTTGTTGGAGTATAAGATGGACGAGATGGTGAAATGGGTTAAAAAATTGCCAAAATCATGCTTCAGGCACAGAGGAAAGTATTTTGTTTCACCCTATTGTATAAACACAATAAAACTGCATACTTGGCATTAACAGAGATATCTTTTACAAATACACAACAGACATTTTGCGGTTCAAGGCTGAAATGCATCAGCTGAGCAAAAAAACCTGGTGAGTATTTGGTGGAGAAATGAAGGCGGGTTCCTGCACCCATCTGGGTGTAACACAGCTGGGGCTGGGCAGCTGTTGGGGGTGAAGGCTCAGCCCTGGAGCTCTCCAGCCACCTGAGCTGGCAGAGAAAGGAGGTAGGGGCAGGAGAGAAAATAGCTGTTGGTGAACTACAAGCCAGCCAGGAGTAAAAAAGAGAAGGCAGGCCTTTTTCTGGACATGGTGAAAACGGTCTGTAACCTGATGTTACAAAGAGGCACTTAACTATTCTACTGAAAAAAACCCCAAGAAAAATCTTTTCCATTCTGTGAAGTGTTAATAGTTAACTTTCAGTGGTGTGATTTACTGTGGCGTTACCTAGATTTTTATCATGTGAAAGCGTGTATTTTAGTGGAATTGCACTGACGTAAAACAAATATTAAAGCATTAGGCCGGACCCCCAGTGTTCAGCTGTGTAACCCATCAGTTAATATCTGGCCTTCCTTCCAAATCCTTACCCATGTGCTGGAATTGATGCTTACAAGTAGTCCTGCTTGTTTAAGTGGGAGTGCTTCTGTGTAAAGTAGTATTTTTAGCTTTCCATAAAACTATAGGAAAGCAAACGCCTCTGTGTTACTGGTTTGCAGTAAGCACAGAGTTGTGTGCTGTCGTTTTGGAGGTCGTGGTCCTGTTGAGGAGAGCTGTATGCCAGCACTGTGCTGTCTCAGAACGCTGTGTAGCAGGAGACTTTATTTTAGCTGTCAACAACAGACACTTATAAATAATTTCTGCCTGCAGATGGTTTTGAAGCCAGTCCAGTAATGTACAGCACATCCAAGTTTTGTCTTGGCAAAGGGGAATGTTACAAAGCGTGGACGGTGTTTTTGACAGAATATGTAAAATTTGTAGCCATAACACTGACTACATTTGTGACATAATGTGTAACGTCGCTTTCTTTTAAACTGCCCATCACTAAATGCATAGTGCTAAGCTATATGCCCCAACATAGAGGGGTTTTTGGCAGGTCCATATTTACTGAGCAGCTAAGAAAACGTGAACAGCGGATATGTTAAAGCTTTCTCAAATCATTGAGCAAGCCTGCCTCACTGCAGATCTGAGTGAGCCGTGCCTGCAGCAGCAAGAGGGTCATTTGGTTCTAGGCTTTCACATCTTGCCCTTTCTTCTGAAATGTGGAAAATCCAGTTATTAACAACTGCAGTTGCAACTTACGGTAAGGAAACAACTGTCAGTAACTACAAATAGTCAAAAAATGGATTGTAACCGTGCCTCTTTTACAGCTATATCCCTGAACTTCCTTCTGTCCGTTTCAAACTGAGAGCAGTCAGAGCTCTGAGCACAAGTCCTTGGTACCCTCGCAGTTATAAACTCAGCATTTTAAAGTAGTTTTCCATGGTAATACGTTGTGAGCAGGCATTCCTCCATTGCCTTCCTTCCCAGAAACAATTGAACCCGAGAGCTGGCTTTGTAACAAATCCAGTTAAAGTTCGACATTCAAAGATGAGAATATATTTGTACATTTTGTGAAATGCGTTAATCATGAAAAGCATTTCTGTTCCTATTGAGAGAGATGGAGCTCTTACCTTTATTCAGGAGTTACCTAGTCTAGCCTACTAGCTGCTGGTTCAACACTCACATAGTTGCTCGGTTGTTAGTATTACCTAAAAGCCAGGCACAAAATACGTTCTTGCTTGCCCAGATAGTTAAGTCTGGGACAAGGAGGAGATGTGGGAATACTGGCAGAAAGGAGCAGAAAGTATTGGGAGGCAGAGAGAGTGACCTGGGCCCCTTGTCAACATGCTGAGGACACGAATCTATAGGAAATGAAGCTTTGTTGTTCCAGGGCTGGTGAAAAAGCTTATCTGGGTTCAGTTTCACTTTATGCCTGGTTCATGCTGATAAAGATGCTGCCCGCAACTTCACATTTAACAGTTAGTGAATCTGTATACAAAATCACGAATTATTGTTTTACCTTCTTGATCATCTTACGCCGTTGGTTGTTTTCACCTAGCACAGTTCATTACCACTTTGGGCATTTTCCCATCTGTGTTTATATCCGATGCTCGTTACTTGAAAGGTTTAGTGGAAAGCTGATGTCATGTGTAGCGTCACATGCTACTATATATCAGAATAATCTACAGACGTGAAATGCCAAATACGAGATGGTCATTCAAGTAAATCATTGCTCTCATTTTAAAAGGTGTGGTCGTAGTTTCACTACGCAAAGTACTGCTCCAGGCCACAGTTTGTCAAGAGGTTATATTGTCCCTACCCAGATTGTGTAACTGCACAGGCTTAAAATGTTTGACTGGATAAGATTGTATGCTTTGGCTCGAAATAGCTCTAAAAAGTTAACTTGCGACTACACAGCGTATGTGCCAGCAGGAGGGTCCAGATTACTGGAGTATAGGGAGTATCAGAGTCCGGAAACAAGAATAGAAGGAAAGCTTTGAAAAGTGAGATTCTTTTATGTTGTTGAAGTCGTCTTTTTTTCAGTTTGTTCCAGATGGGAGAAAGATCTCTTAACTTTTTTAAGCAGAGACAATTAATTTTGGAACAATGTTTAGCATATCCATGATGCTGTTCCACGAAGGACCATGACATTAGAGGTGATCCACACAGACATAGGACAAATGTATGGGGAATAAGGCTGAAGTCTGTATTTGTTCTCACTGGGTTTTCCAGAGACACTGTAGATTCAGCTGCTTCTTGAATCCTGTGATTTAATAGTAGCGATAAGGTCTTAACTATAGATTGCACTCAAAGCTCAAGCAGCCTGGAGCTGCAGAACTTGTAATACGTGTCTTAAGAAGATGAGATCTAAATTAACAATGAATTTCACACAACTGTCAATGTGAAAGCAGAGTTACTCTTCTTAATTAATTGGAGTCGATGTTGCTGCCTTAACACCAGTGCAAAATTCCTGGTCCCTGGAGATCCACTGCCGGATCCATTTCATTCCATTCTCTTGAGGGCTTTTTCTGTCTCCCTCATAACCCTCTTACTGGAGCACTCTTCAGGGAGGTACTCGGCTGCCATTTGTTGTTAGTAACTCTTTCTTCCTTTCCAAATCAAAAGGAAATCTGTGCTGTTTATCGTTTATTTAAAATGTGTTCCTTTCCATCTGCTGTGCTATGTACGTTTGTTAGGAAAGCCAAGAACTGCAACTCTTTAAACAACAACAAAAAAGAACAGCTGTTTTTCTAGCAAAAAGAAAAGTTACCTGGTAACAGGCTGTGGTTAAGGAGCAAATATGTTGAACTACAGTCCTTCGGGGAATCTTCGGGGTGTAATGGCCCAGTTCATTGGGTGCCTGGACGATAAGGAGAGAAACAAGAGCACTTTGATAATTTCTTGATTTGCTTGGGGGCTGGCTTGCTGCATTCTGGTATTAACAGAGCCATAAAGGCAGATGACTTCATATCCCTTGATTTTGTACTGCTGTAATTCAGCCAGGAGGTGACAAAGTCGTGTTTTATTGAGGCCATGGCGTCACTTGCCAGGATGGGACAAAGTCTCCTTGCCAACTACAGATGGTAAAAAGCCTTATTCACGAGCTCTGTTATACGAGA